TTTGCGGTACGCGGGCCCCTCACTGCTGTGGCCTCTCCCGTTGCGGAGCCCAGGCTCCGGACGCGCAGGCTCAGCGGCCATGGCTCACGGGCCCGGCCGCTCCGCGGCACGTGGGATCCTCCCGGACCGGGGCACGAACCCACGTTCCCTGCATCGGCAGGCGGACTCTCAACCACTGCGCCACCAGGGAAGCCCATGATGTTTCTTATTCTCACGTTTGCTTGGACTTTGGAATCAGACCTGGGTTCAAACCCGGGTTTCTCTTACACGCTGCGTCATCCTGGCCGACGGGTGCCTACGTTTCCAGCTCTGTGTAGCGGAGACACGCCCACTTGGCGGGAGTGGCTGAGAGCGTAGGGCAGGGGCTCGGTCGCCGCGAGTGTCCTGTTTACCAGCATCCTAGCCACACGGGTCAAGGAGACAGGACGCTGCTGGGGACGGGTGTGGCTACCTGCGAGGAGCGGCATCACCGCCAGCTGCATGGCGAACGTGCCCTGCTTCCCGTGGCCTGCCAGCCTGGAGTCTGTCTCCACGTGAGATTTCTCCCTCCTCCTCTGGCTTTTCCTCCTCGCGTCTGATTGTTTCCGTTTAACTGTGAAATCAGAGGAAGGGAATAAACGTTAAGAGGAGCTCCTGTCCCAGAGGCTGTACGTGGCTGCTTCACGCGGCAGGGATGCGGAAGGCTCTGGGGGCTCCCTGGAGGCAGGGTCTGTGCTCCTTCTCTATCCCAGCAACCGGGAGACACATCCCAACGCGGACAGCAGTCATTGGTTACACGCAGCAGGAAATTACGGGGTCCTGATCCCCCACTCGCCACCACCCAGAGCCACAGCTGTGGCGACACCAGCGGCACACGACACCCAAGTTCCCCTCCCCTCGGCTTATAACCTCAGCGCAGCGCTGAGGGTTGGGCTTTGAAGGTGAACCACCAAAGTTCTAGAATCAGCTCTCTCCCTCCTGCAGGGAAAGCGCCTTAACCATTCTGAGCCTCGACGCCCCTGTCTGTCGAATGGGGGCAGCACCTGCCTCCTAAGGGCCTCGAGAAGAGTCAGCGGGCAAAGGCACATGAGATGCTCATCTCAGCACCCAGCTTAGATCAAGAAGAAAAAGGAGATGATAAAACGCATAAGTGTGGGTAACTAAAACCATGAGCTATAGGTTCTGTGACAGAGAGACCAATGGAACAGACAATTGCAGGCAAGCCCAGAAATAGAGCCACACACATAGGGAGACTTAACAGAGGCCAGAGGTGGCATATCAAATCAGTGGGAAAAGATGGACCAGACCATCAATGATACTGACTATCCACGTGGAGGCAAATAAAATGATAGTGCACCTCATGCCGTGTGCAAAATGAGTTGCAGACTGAAGGTGGAAAACAAAAACTTCAAAATCATTAGAAGAATACTTGGGAGACTAGACTGCCATCTGTTTGAGGAAGGGTCTCTCAAGTGTTACCCAAAGTACAAACTGGACGGGAAGAGGTGAATACCCGGGGTACGCAAGACATCCTACATGAAGGGAAAGGGTAAGATACAGCCCCCAGCCTGTGATGCTTACAGTGCATGAAACTACGCAGAGTTATTCAAAAGGCCTTAAAAAAAAAAAAAAAAAAAAGGCTTGGGGATCAACAAGAAAAAAAAATTTTAACACAACAGAATGACATAAGTGAAGAAATGGGAATAGGCAAATGACCTAAGTGCTAACCAGATAAGCATTCTAGATACGCTCCATCCCCATAATCAGGAACTCGGCCCCTGAGTATGCAACGGTGATGTGGAGAAGCGGGAATTCTCAGGGCTGCTGTCAGGAGGGCAAACAAGTACAACCGGGACCCTAAACCGGCAGCATACCCTGAGCGGTCACAGCTCATTTCCTATGCCCGGGACCCCGCCGGGCATGCACCCTCCACCCTCCAACCCGTGGGCTGGAGCCCCGCGCAAGGACGGTTCCTGGTAACAGCAGGAAACTGATGACTATTCAAACATCCCACACCGGGGCCTGCAGGGATGAAGGGGGCACTACCCAACAGGGCACTTTACAGAAGGTAGAAGGGGCTGGACTGAGATGTACTGACACCAATAAATCTCAGAAATAAAGTCGAGAGAAAGAACAAGCTGCTGTTAAATACGCATATGCGTGAAGTCATTTCTGTAACTCACGAAACCAGAAATCACTACGGGGCTTCCCTGGTGGCGCAGCGGTTGAGAGCCCGCCTGATATCTTGCTAAAGTCATTCTCTTCTAAACCATCCATTTACAAGAGATCGACTAATTAAATCATGCCATAGGTCTTCCTTTTAGTGGGAAAAGGCAGTTAGCTAATCTGAGCTCTTAAACTAGTACTAGAAATAGGCCTTTTCACATAGGACACATTACCTAGAGTACTGAAAAATATTCTTTGTTTGCATTTGATGCCTAAGGTGAAGCACTGCCTTTTTTCAACCTCATGTCAAACACATGCTTAGCATAGGATGGTGTCTTAAGCAAATCTAGGGTCAGTGTAACCCCAAGGGTTCTACTGGGGGGAGGGGGGGGGGGGGGGGGGGGTTACACCGATTTCTAGGCGAGGGTGGCTGTATGCTTCTCAAAAGCACGGGAAGCCAAGGGCGCGTAAACTGTATCTGTAGCCTCTTATTTCTTTAAAAAAAAAAAAAACAGAAAAGAAAGAAAAGAAAAAAGGAACAAGAAGGAAATAAAGGAAATATGGCAAAATATTAATACCTAAATTGTGGGTACGTCGTTGTACATTTTTCTGTGTACTTTTCTCTGCTTCAAAAAAAGAAGCATGGCTTGAAAACCTCATTAAAATGCTTAAAGGACATTAAAAAGCACTGAGGCTGTTTAACCTGGAAAGAGAAAACTCGGAAGGAGTTGCAAGGTGTTCCTAGTCTTTTAGGGCCTGAAGAACAGGACTGACGTTACTCGCCTACATCTCCCACGGCCAGTGAGGAGCCTGACTCCAGAAGCTTCAGGGTTGGACTAGAACCGGGAAAAGTAGGTTGACTGAGGGTTAAGGAAACGATCTGCAGAAGTTACAGCTCAACAAATGGGAAACGGGAAGCAAGTGCCCCGGCTCTAGAATTTTCCACCTCATACTGGAAACACAACTGCTTACTGAAACACTGCTGAGGAGATCTAAGCCAAGAACGAGGAGGTAGATTCAGGGACCCGAGGGTCCTTGCTGGGAGTCGGACACTCAGATCACATGCTTTCAGGACTGCCATTTCCCTCATTCCACCGTAAGAAGCAAATGGCTTCTCATCTTCCAAAGAGAGTCTCTCCATCCCCACATCCCACCTACCCACCCTACACAGCATCTATCACATAGAATTGTAATTATTTATCTGGAAGTCTCTGGTCAATATTAGAGATTTTCATGTTTCCCATACACACAACACCATGGACCAGGAGCACAGAAATACTGGTGGAGTGGGAAAGGATGGGATGGGATGGGATGGGAAAGGATGGGATAGGATGGGATGGGAAAGGATGGGATGGGATGGGAAGGGATGGGAAAGGATGAGATGAGATGGGATGGGATGGGATGGGATGGGATGGGATGGGATGGAATGGGATGGGATGGGATGGGATGGACGGATGAGATGAGATGAGATGGGATGGGATGCGATGGGATGGGAAAGGATGGGATAGGATGGGATGGGATAGGATGGGATGGGATGGGATGGGATGGGAAAGGATGAGATGAGATGAGATGAGATGAGATGAGATGAGATGAGATGGGATGGGATGGGATGGGATGGGATGGGATGGGATGGGATGGGATGGGATGGGATGGGATGGGATGGGATGGACGGATGAGGTGAGATGAACCGGGTAAGTTAAAACTGCATGTAGTAGTTTTTACTTTTGAATAATATTTGAATCTTACAGAAGTACCCTGAATTTGAAATATTTCATAATTCTTATCCAGGTCTAGTTATACTATAAATTTCCAAAGTCCCATCCTAACTTACTTTGAAATGTTTGCTTTTCCAACAAGTTTGTTAAGCTGCTAAATGACGGCCTCTCAATTAACTCCTCCATCTCCGCCGTGGTTGCCCCTCCCAAAGAAATAACTGGTCTTGAAGTACCACATCTAGAAAATTCACAAAGAGAAAAATAAGTGAAAGTGAGAAAAATCAGGGACCAGATCTAGGAATCTATTTACTGGACTGCATGTAAGCAGATTTTATAAAATATAGCACTGCATTCCTCTAACCCACTGATTCTCAAATTTCAACATGCATATTAATCACTGAATAAAATGCACATTGTAGTGCAGCAAGCCTGGGGTGGCCCTGAGATGCCCATTTCTAACAAGCTCCCAGTCATGCTGAGGCTGCCAGCCTGCATACAAACTTGCATTATCATTTATGATGGAAAAAATAATATATTTTATAAAAAGCAACTGAAACTCTAAAATATTCAGGAATTCTTTTACAGGAATTATCCACAACAACTATAGGAAGAAAAATAATCAACCCTATTAAAAGTCATAAAGGAGGAGCTGAATTAGGTGAAAAGATACACCATGATCATGGATGGGAGAACTTCGAAATGTAAAAATGTCAATTCACTACCCTGAGAAAACCATAATTCAAAAAGAGTCATGTACCAGTCCCTCCGATCAGGAAACTTGCACAAGCCTCTTAGATAGCCTGATCCACCAGTGGGCTGACAGCAGAAGCAAGAAGAACTACAATCCTGCAGCCTGTGGAACAAAAACCACATTCACAGAAAGACAGACAAGATGAAAAGGCAGAGGGCTATGTACCGCATGAAGGAACAAGATAAAACCCCCAAAAAACAACTAAATGAAGTGGAGATAGGCAACCTTTCAGAAAAAGAATTCAGAATAGAGTGAAGATGATCCAGGACCTCGGAAAAAGAATGGAGGCAAAGATTGAGAGGATGCAAGAAATGTTTAACAAAGACCTAGAAGAACTGAAGAACAAACAGAGATGAGCAATACAATAACTGAAATGAAAACTACACTAGAAGGAATCAATAGCAGAATAACTGAGGCAGAGGAATGGATAAGTGACCTGGAAGACAGAATGGTGGAATTCACTGCTGCGGAACAGAATAAAGAAAAAAGAATGAAAAGAAATGAAGACAGCCTAAGAGACCTCCGGGACAACATTAAACGCAACAACATTCGCATTATAAGGTTCCCAGAAGAAGGAGAGAGAGAGAGAAAGGACCAGAGAAAATATTTGAAGAGATTATAGTCGAAAACTTCCCTAACTTGGGAAAAGAAATAGTCACCCAAGTCCAGGAAGCACAGAGGGTCCCATACAGGAGAAACCCAAGGAGAAACATGCCGAGACACATAGTAATCAAATTGGCAAAAATTAAAGACAAAGAAAAATTACTGAAAGCAGCAAGGGAAAAACAACAAATAACATACAAGGGAACTCCCACAAGGTTAACAGCTGATTTCTCAGCAGAAACTCTACAAGCCAGAAGTGAGTGGCATGACATACTTAAAGTGATGAAAGGGAAGAACCTACAACCAGGATTACTCTATCCAGCAAGGATCTCATTCAGATTCGAGGGAGAAATCAAAAGCTTTACAGACAAGCAAAAGCTCAGAGAATTCAGCACCACCAAACCAGCTCTACAACAAATGCTAAAAGAACTTCTCTAAGTAGGAAACACAAGAGAAGAAAAGGACCTACAAAAACAAACCCAAAACAATTAAGAAAATGGTCTTAGGAACATACATATCAATAATTACCTTAAACGTGAATGGATTAAATGCTCCAACCAAAACACACAGGCTTGCTGAATGGATACAAAAACAAGACCCATATAGATGCTGTCTACAAGAGACCCACTTCAGACCTAGGGACACATACAGACTGAAAGTGAGGGGATGGAAAAAGATACTCCATGCAAATGGAAATCAAAAGAAAAGTATACTCATATCAGATAAAATAGACTTTAAAATAAAGAATGTTACATGAGACAAGGAAGGACACTACATAATGATCAAGGGATTAATCCAAGAAGAAGATATAACAATTATAGACATATATGCACCCAACATAGGAGCACCTCGATACATAAGGCAACTGCTAACAGCTATAAAAGAGGAAATCGACAGTAACACAATAATAGTGGGGGACTTTAACACCTCACTCACACCAGTGGACAGATCATCCAAAATGAAAATAAATAAGGAAACAGAAGCTTTAAATGACACAATAGACCACATAGATTTAATTGATATTTATAGGACATTCCATCCAAAAACAGCAGATTACACTTTCTTCTCCAGTGCGCACGGAACATTCGCCAGCATAGATCACATCTTGGGTCACAAATCCAGCCTCAGGAAATTTAAGAAAACTGAAATCATATCAAGCATCTTTTCTGACCACAACACTATGAGATTAGAAATGAATTACAGGGGAAGAAAACGTAAAAAACACAAACACGTGGAGGCTAAACAATACGTTACTAAATAACCAAGAGATCCCTGAGGAAATCAAAGAGGAAATCAAAAAATACTGAGAGACAAATGACAATGAAAACACGACAATCCAAAACCTATGGGATGCAGCAAAAGCAGTTCTAAGAGGGAAGTTTATAGCTATACAAGCCTACCTCAAGAAACAAGAAAAATCTCAAGTAAACAATCTAACCTTACACCTAAAGGAACTAGAGAAAGAAGAACAAACAAAACCCAAAGTTAGCAGAAGGAAAGAAATCATAAAGACTAGAGCAGAAATAAATGAAAGAGAAGCAAAGAAAATAATAGCAAAGATCAATAAAACTAAAAACTGGTTCTTTGAGAGGATAAACAAAATTGATAAACCATTAGCCAGACTCATCAAGAAAAAGAGGGAGAGGACTCAAATCAATAAAATTAAAAAACGAAAAAGGAGAAGTTACAACAGACACTGCAGAAATACAAAGCATCCTAAGAGACTACTACAAGCAACTCTATGCCAGTAAAATGGACAACCTGGAAGGAATGGACAAATTCCTAGAAAGGGATAATCTTCCAAGACTGATCCAGGAAGAAACAGAAAATAGGGACAGACCAATCACAAGTAATGAAATTGAAATTGTGATTAAAAATCTTCCAACAAACAAAAGTCCAGGACCAGATGGCTTCACAGGTGTTCTATCAAATACATTCACCCTTGTAGAACTGCCATCTTAGGAGTGACAGACCAAAAGAAGTTTGTCCTTGGTAAAGCTTTGTGGACACAATCCAGCTAGTGCTTTTCCCAGCAAGGCCACATATGTCCAAGAAAAACTAACATATTCAAAAACAGTTACAGGTTGTATAACCCCTAAATGAGTCAGGTGTAGATGGGAGGGAGGAATACTCAAACCAGTAGAAAACAGGAAAGAGACCTAAGAAAAAACATTATTCAAAGAAACTACAAAGTAATATGGACGAAATAAATTCAAATATACCATTAATCACAATAAATGCCAATGGGTTAAACTTACCAATTCAAAGACAAAGAGTCTCAGCTTGCTTTTTAAAAAAGTACCGCTGTTCAACACCCATTTATCATAAAATCTCTCCAGAAAGTGGGCATAGAGGGAAACCACATCATCATAATAAAGGACATACATGACAAACTCACAGTAAACATCATTCTCAATGGTGAAAAACTGAAAGCATTTCCTCTAAGATCAGGAACAAGACAAGGATGTCCACTCTCACCACTATTATTCAACATAGTTTTGGAAGTCCTGGCCACAGCAATCAGAGAAGAAAAAGAAATAAGAGGAATACAAATTGGAAAAGAAAAAGTAAAACTGTCACTGCTTGCACATGACATGATACTATACACAGAGAATCCTAAAAATGCCACCAGAAAACTACTAGAGCTAATCAATGAATTTGGTAAAGTTGCAGGATACAAAATTAATGCACAGAAATCTCTTGCATTCCTATACACTAATGATGAAAAATCTGAAAGAGAAATTAAGGAAACAGTCCCATTTACCATTGCAACTAAAAGAATAAAATACCTAGGAATAAACCTACCTAGGGAGACAAAAGACCTGTATGCAGAAAACTATAAGACACTGATGAAAGAAATTAAAGGTGATACCAACAGATGGAGAGATATACCATGTTCTTGGATTGGAAGAATCAATACTGTGAAAATGACTATACTACCCAAAGCAATCTACAGATTCAATGCAAGCCCTATCAAATTACCAATGGCATTTTTTACGGAACTAGAACAAATCATCTTAAAATTTGTATGGAGACACAAAAGACCCCGAAGAGCCAAAGCAGTCTTGAAGGAAAAAAATGGAGCTGGAGGAATCAGACTCCCTGACTTCAGGCTATACTACAAAGCTACAGTAATCAAGACAATATGGTACTGGCACAAAAACAGAAACACAGATCAATGGAACAAGATAGAAAGCCCAGAGATAAACCCACGCACCTATGGTCAACTAATCTATGACAAAGGAGGCAAGGATGTACAAAGGAGAAAAGACAGTCTCTTCAATAAGCGGTGCTGGGAAATCTGGACAGCTACATGTAAAAGAATGAAATTAGAACACTCCCTAACACCATACACAAAAATAAACTCCAAATGGATTCGAAACCTAAATGTAAGACCGAACACTAAAAAACTCTTAGAGGAAAACACAGGAAGAACACTCTTTGACATAAATCACAGCAAGATCTTTTTTGATCCACCTCCTAGAGTAATGGAAATAAAACAAAAATAAACAAATGGGACCTAATGAAACTTCAAAGCCTTTGCACAGCAAAGGAAAGTACAAACAAGACGAAAAGACAACCCTCAGAATGGGAAAAAATATTTGCAAACAAGTCAACAGACAAAGAATTCAGCAGAGCAGCTGGGCCCGTGAGCCACGGCCGCTGAGCCTGCGCGTCCGGAGCCTGTGCTCCACAGCAGGAGAGGTCACGACAGTGAGAAGCCCGTGTACTGCAAAAACAAAACAAAAACAAAAACATCATTCAGCTCAATATTAAAGAAACAAACAACCCAATCCAAAAATGGGCAGAAGACCTAAACAGATATTTCTCCAAAGGAGACATACAGAATCACATGAAAAGCTGCTCAACATCACTAATTATTAGAGAAATGCAAATCAAAACTACAGTGAGGTATCACCTCACACCAGTTAGAATGGGCATCATCAGAAAATGTACAAACAACAAATGCTGGAGAGGGTGTGGAGAAAAGGGAACCCTCTTGCACTGTTGGTGGGAATGTAAATTGATACAGCCACTATGGAGAACAGTATGGAGGTTCCTTATAAAACTAAAAATAGAATTACCATATGATCCAGCAATCCCACTACTGGGCAGATACCCATAGAAAGCCATAATTGAAAAAGACCCATGCACCCCAATGTTCACTGCAGCGCTGTTTACAACAGCCAGGTCATGGAAGCAACCTAAATGCCCATCGACAGACGAAGAGATAAAGAAGATGTGGTACATATATACAATGGAATATTACTCAGCCATAAAAAGGAACAAAATTGAGTCACCTGTTGAGACGTGGATGGATCTAAAGACTGTTATACAGAATGAAATAAGTCTGAAAGTGAAAAACAAATATCGTATGTTAACGCACGTATGTGGAACCTAGAAAAATGGTACAGATGAACCTGTTTGCAGGGCAGAAGTTGAGACACAGATGTAGAGAACAAACGTATGGACACCAAGGGGCGAAAACCGCGGTGGGGTGGGGATGGTGGTGTGCTGAATTGGGCGATTGGGACTGACATGTATACACTGATGTGTATAAAATTGATGACTAATAAGAACCTGCTGTGTAAAAAAATAAAATAGGGCTTCCCTGGTGGCGCAGTGGTTGAGAGTCCACCTGCCGATGCAGGGGACACGGGTTCATGACCCAGTCCTGGAGGATCCCACATGCCGCAGAGCAGCTGGGCCCGTGAGCCACGGCCGCTGAGCCTGCGCGTCCGGAGCCTGTGCTCCACAGCAGGAGAGGTCACGACAGTGAGAAGCCCGTGTACTGCAAAAACAAAACAAAAACAAAAACACAAAAAGAGTCATGTACCACAGTGTTCATTGCAGCACTATTTACAATAGCCAGGACATGGAAGCAACCTAGGTGTCCATCGACAGATGAATGGATAAAGAAGATGTGGCACATATATACAATGGAATATTACTCAGCCATAAAAAGAAACGAAATTGAGCTATTTGTAATGAGGTGGATAGACCTAGAGTCTGTCATACAGAGTGAAGTAAGTCAGAAAGAGAAAGACAAATACCGTATGCTAACACATATATATGGAATTTAAGAAAAAAAAAATGTTATGAAGCACCTAGGGGCAAAACAGGAATAAAGACACAGACCTACTGGAGAACAGACTTGACGATATGGGGAGGGGGAAGGGTGAGGTGTGATAGGGCGA